AGGAAACAGGCTCAGGGAGCCTCGCCCAGCCAGGAAGAAGTGGGGAGAGTCCTCCTCATCCAACATGTAGAGTGGGCCAGGGAGGTGACCTACCTGGGAGTCCAGGTCACATCATCCCAATTACTGTGGGGACCCCTCTGGACAGGCCTTACTCCTCTTTAGCTCCAATAGTCCTTCACACAGGAGCAAGGACACGGCATGGGGGAAAAAAACACATCAGGTGGGGTTTTTTTCAATAATAATAATAATCATAAACTTAATTTTCAATATTTTCAATAATAATTTTCAATAATAATAATAATAAACTTAATTTTTCTAGAGTAGTTTAGGTTGATCTATAAAGCAGATCTGAAAGTACAGGGAGTTCTCATATACTCTGTTCCCACATATGCACACCTTCCCCACAATCATCATCCTCGCACCAGATTAGCACATTTGTTACACCCGATGAACTTTCATGCCTTTTTCTGGCCTGATAGTTCATTTCTTTTTTAGTGTTGACCGCTATTCCACTGTCTGGATGGACCACAGCTGGTTCATCCATTCACCTACAGAAGAATATCTGAGTTGCTTCCAAGGTTTGGCAATTATGAATACAGCTGCTATAAGCCCCTGTCCGCACATAGGGTTTGTGCGAGGGCATCAGCTTCCAACTCTTTCAGATAAAGACCAAGGAGCACAATTTCTGGATTGTATGAGAAGAGTATGTTTAGTTTTGTAAGAAATCGCCAAACTGTCCTCCAGAGTGGTTGCACCATTCTGCATTCCCGCCAGCGGTGAGTGAGCGGTCCTGCTGCTCCCCGTCCCCGCCAGCACGTCCACATCTTCACCATCCTAATAGCTACATCATGGTACCTCGTGGTTGTTTTAATTTCTTTGATGCCTTATGATGTGGAGTATCTTTTCATGTTTATTGGCCACCTGTGTATCTTCTTTGCTGAGGTGCACGCAAAGATCTTTGGCTCATTTTTTAACCGAGTTGTCGGTTTTCTTACAGTTGAGCGTGAAGAGTTCTGTGGGTATTTTGGATAAGAGTACTTGTCATGTACATACACTAGATCTGTCAAGGTCCCGGTAGAAAACAGACAGGACACTCCAGATGAGTCCTTAAGGAAGCCTATTAAAGAGACTGTTGACAGGATGTGGGCAGAGTTGAGGAAGACCGTCAGGGAGCAGTGACAAGACCAGCACCAGCCAGAGGAGGGGCCAAGATCAGCGTGGCCCGGGGGAAAGGACAGTGGGCAGCGGCCTGAGCCCAGGTGTCAGACGCAGGGCATCAGCCTCCAAAGGTGTCTACATCCTAATCTCCAGAACCTGTGTCTATGTCACATCCTGGAGGTCCCGTTACACAGCAAAGGGGAATTAAGGCAGCAGTGGAATTAGGGTTGCTGGTTGGCTGGGCTTAAAATGGGGAGACCGCTCTGGATTATCTCTGAACAATAACCTGAATAATCACCCCAGACCCTCCTCTGCTTTGCCCCTGTAGAGCTTGGAGCACGCCTGTCACCAATGCCTGTCATCACAGTCTCTGTCCTTGCTGTGTGCAACGGGTGGGCCTGATATAATCACGGGATCTTTAAAAGAAGAGTGAGGAGGCAGGAGAGAAGCAGAAATGGCAGCATGGGCGCAATTTGGCACCACACTGCTGACTTTGAGAAGGAGGAGACTGCAAGTCAATGATGCTGGCAGCCTGCAGACCAGAAGGCAAGGACACAGGTTCTCCACTAGGGCTTCCAGAAGGAACACACCCTGCCAACATCTTGATGTCAGCCCCACCAGGCCTGTACTTCTGTTCTACTGAACTGTAAGGTAATTAATTTGCATCATCTGAAGCCACTCAGTCTGCTGCCATGTATTACAGCAGACATCAAAGAGTAGTACATGAAATAGCCGGAGGAGACCCCCCCTCCCCACTGCAGGACCTCTGGCTGAGGGTGCCAAGGGTGTGGGCCAGTCCATGGTAATCCAGTGGGGAGGAAGCAAAAAGAACAATACCTTGAACCCACTCCTCCCACTTTCTCATTGTCCACCATGGGCTGAACCCACGCAGAAGCCAGAGAACTCAGGGCAGAGTGGGGAAGGATGAAGACGAGATATGGAAAGGCATAATAAAAGGAAGATGTGTGTGTGTGCGTGTGTGTGTGCATGCACATGCCTCTCTCTCTCTCTCTCTCTCTCTCTCTCACACACACACACACACACACACACACACACTCATTGCCGTGAAGGTAAACTCTGTTTCTCTAAGTCAGAAAATCCTACCATGATTCAATCCTGGAGTGAGGGAAACAGGAATTAACTCTTTTTCTTAGGGTTCAAGTAGCAAATAATCTCTCCAGGTCATCGGTTGGCATCAGGATCAAGAGCTGCATAGGGATTGGAAGCTGTATTAGTGCAACAAAGTGCCACAAACTGGGAGCCTCAAACCAAAGAGATTTGGTTTCTCATAGTTCTGGAGGCTGGAAGTCCAAGATTAAGGTGTCAGCTGGTCTGGCTCCTGCTGAGAACTCTCTTCCTGGCTGGCAGACAGTTTCCTCCCCACCATGTCCTCAGATGGCAGAGAGAGAGCGGGCTCTCTGGACCTCCGACAGTAAGGACACTAATCCTGTGGGATCAGGGCCCCACCCTTCTGACCTCTCTCATTTAACCCTAATTACTTCCTTATTCCAAATACAGTCACACTAGGGCATAGGCTTCGGCATATGAACTGAGGGAAGGGGGACACAGAGCAGTCCTCAGCTGAAGCCCTTTGGACTGTATCTTGCATGTAAACGGCAAGAAGGTCCGATGCCCAGGCACACAAAGCAAGCAAAGGGTCTTGGCCTCAGAGACCCCCTGGCCTGGCCAGGAAGCCTCCTTACTACCTTACATGATTGACCACACGGCCCCAAACAGCATCTCTCCATCTCTGTGCTGGACTCAGAACCACTGCCTGTCTACAGATGCTCACGCCTGGTGGATCCCCTTAGCACTGTGTGGCCCTGAATTATATGCTGCATAATTAGAGGTGGAATAATTTAGCCTGGTCTGTGGTTAAACAGGAGAGCCAAGATTTTGATTCCAATGTACACAGTGGAGGACTTCAGGGATCAGAGTTTTCCAATACAGACTGAAATTAGTCTTAACACAGTGATATTTCGTTTTTATTCAAAGTCAGGGGTCACATGGGTATGGAGGAAGCAAGCTCTAGGCCCAGAGCATCCACACACGCATACACTCTCTGAGAAGAGTTTCAGGTTAGGAGGACCACCAATGAGAGCTTCAAACAGAGGGCACATCGGCCACTCTGCTGTGGTCCCCTGAGTGAAGATAGGAATTGTGAGCCCTCTGACTTGGCCACAGGGTGAACCCACGGGTGGGTCAACGGTGCTGATTCTCCCTCTACTTCCACAGTAACTGCACTTTGCAGTCTGCCTCTGACCTGGCTGGAGAGGCTCATCCACAGAAGACACAGAGGAAGTTCTCTTTCTGTGTGACAGAGGATGCTAAACCTAGAGCTGTCCTAAAAAGGCAACAATACCTCCACATCTTTGACACTCCTTCCTGGGAAAGACACTCCCACCAGAGCCACAAGTGAAAAACTGGGAACTCTTCCCTTTGTCTTTAAGCGTCCCTACCCTGTAGGAGTTAAAAGATTAACTCTTGTAGTGACAGCAGGGCAGGGGGCAGGGGGCAGGAAGCCTCCAGTCCTGAAGACTCCTACCTGCTCAGCGCCCTAACACAAAGGAATAAGAGACTGATCGCTCGCCTGAGATACACAGCCAGTGACTAGCAGAGCTGAGATGCATTATCCACCTCTCCTGATCCCAAGCACTGTGTCCTCTCCACCGTTCCAGCCTAGACCTTGGGAGACTGAGTACTTCCAAAGGCAAGCAGGAACTTGCCTTTTTCTGGATCCTACAGGCCTTATTGAGCTACACGAAACCCAGTGAAGAGTTAAAAATCTATTAATACAGGTTTTTTTGGCTTCAAAGAAAACTGGTCTACCATTCATACATATGGAATCTTTGTTGTGGACTGTATTATGTCCCCCCAAAATCCATCTGTTGAAATCTTAGCCCACAATGTGACTGTATGATTGCATATCTGGACGGAAGATCAAACTATCACTGGAGCACAGCAACTTTGCCAAAGACAAAAAAAAAAAAAAAATCAGAGGAAACCTCGGTTTGGCTCCAGTTAAGTATCAGGGGTTCTAAGTGTGAGATACTTTTTATCTCTAAAGTTCTGGCATTTACAAAGGCTAAAGAAAGGGACTAATGACAGGTTTTAAAACATATTAACACACTTTTCTTCCCCCCCCCCTTGCTCACCCTGCTCCATGGGAATGACATCCTAAAAGCCTGGGAAAGCCCGATGCCCTGAGGACACATCTATCAGTGACAAAAGAATCCCTGGAGGATGTCAGTGTGGTGCTCAAACAGCCATTTAGCAAGAAGAGTAACAGCTGCAAAGTGCCAAAGTTTTGGCAAGTCCTTGACCAGCTGTCTCTGGAACGACCCGCACAGCCGCACAGCCCAAGCAGGCCCGGCGCTCGGTGCCTGCAGGATGCCTACTTACACTTCAGGTCTGGAGCTTTCTCACACTTTGGCTCATTCAATCTTCACGGACATTCTGTAAGGTAGATAATATATATATTTTTAAATGCAGAAAGGGGGAGAGAGGTCAAAACACTCGCGCCGGCTCACACGGCTGGGAAGTGAGGCCCAGCCCTTGGGGATCCCCTTGCACCCAGCACCCGCTTCCCTGGGTTGAACCCAACGGAGAAATGCAAAGGCAGCGAGCGGACAGGCCTCGGGTGGCCTCGGTCCCCGGCCCGCCAGGCCAGGCGCGGCTGCTCAGGGGCCCCCTTCGGGGGAGGGCGGGTCCTCCTCCCAGCCCGGAGCTTCGCGGAGAGGAGGAGGCGCCGCTCTCCTCCCCGGGCAGCCCGCCCAGTCTCGGCGGCGCAGTGAGAGAGGGAGGGAGCGCCGGGCGGGCGCGGGCGCGGGCGCGGGCGCGGGATGGAGAGCAGCAGCCCGCGGCCCCCGGGGCCCAGCGCCGGCCCCGGCCCCGCGCTCAGCCTGGACGCGCGGCTGCGCGGGGACCCGCGCCCGTGGGCCAAGGTGCTGTTCACGGCGCTGTACGCGCTCATCCTGGCGCTGGGCTCCGCGGGCAATGCGCTGTCCGTGCGCGTGGTGCTGAAAGGGCGCGCCGGGCCCCCGGGCCGCCTGCGCTACCACGTGCTCAGCCTGGCGCTCTCCGCGCTGCTGCTGCTGCTGGTCGGCGTGCCCGTGGAGCTCTACGACTTCGTGTGGTGCCGCCACCCCTGGGTGTTCGGAGACCTGGGCTGCCGCGCCTACCACTTCGTGCGCGAGCTGTGCGCCTACACCACGGTGCTCAGCGTGGCCAGCCTGAGCGCCGAGCGCTGCCTGGCCGTGTGCCAGCCCCTGCGCGCCCGCCGCCTGCTGTCGCCGCGCCGCACCCGCCGCCTGCTGTCGCTCGTCTGGGCCGCCTCGCTCGGCCTCGCCCTGCCCATGGCAATCATCATGGGGCAGAAGCACGAGCTGGAGACGGCTGGCGGGGAGCCGGAGCCCGCCTCGCGCGTGTGCACCGTGCTGGTGAGCCGCGCCACGCTCCAGGTCTTCATTCAGGTAAGGGCAGGGAGGGGGGAGGAGGGGGGAGGAGGGGGGAGCCTAAGGGGCCCGCGTTTTCACTTCTGATGCCGCTCCCCCCCACACACACACCCTCCCCACGCCCCAGGCCGACTAGCGGGTCTCCCTGCCTCCATTGTACAGAGGACTTGGGGAGAGAGAGGCCTGGCAAAGAGGAGGCATTAAGAGAAACCCAGATTTGGGGATCCCTGGGTGGCGCAGCGGTTTGGCGCCTGCCTTTGGCCCAGGGCGCGATCCTGGAGACCCGGGATCGAATCCCGCGTCGGGCTCCTGGTGCATGGAGCCTGCTTTTCCCTCTGCCTGTGTCTCTGCCTCTCTCTCTCTCTCTCTCTCTCTCTCTCTCTCTCTCATAAATAAATAAAAATTAAAAAAATTAAAAAAAAGAATTTGGGAAAGTAGAAAGTTATTAAGCCTGGCTGGAAAACGTTCCACGCAGCTTCAGAAGTTGCTTGCTCTGGTCACTATAGAGAATTACTCAGAAGCAACAAGGTAGGCTCCCTAATTTATAAAAATCCACCTCCTGTATCAGACATGTTTGCAGGTTGTCAAATTCCTTAGCCAAATCTGGACCCAGTGATATCGAAGACAAAAACAAAAGCAAAACACACCAGCAGGGAGAATAGTAATGATACTAAAGAAGCTGGGCAGGCAGGGGATCCAAACAGCAGTCAGAAGGAGGGGCCCCGCTGACAACAGTGGGAGCTGCTTCTCCTGCCACATCAGGGGGACTAGTCATGGCCTGACACCTCAGCCGTCCAGTCCACACATGGCCCTCCCATGCCGGCCCAAGCACATCACGGCCATGGAGCAGTGTATCTAGAGCACCCATCTACCTCCCAGCAGCCCCCACGTAGCTTCTGAGTCGCAGCGGAATAGTCAGAGCCTTAGGCCTGACTGTGTAGCTCCCTGCTGCACCCTGGTGTGGCCGTGGCAATGAACCAGCAACCATATGCTCTGAAGGCCTGGTAGCCAAGTTCCACCAGTTTTCACAGACAAGGGTGATAGCTTCCAGGCTGCACCTATTTTGGAGTTGGGCTAAGGGGTGGGAGAGTGCCAAGCAGGGTCGGTGCTGCGAATATGCTGCTTGCATAGTTTATTTTGTGTGGTACAGACTGAGCGACGCAATAGAAACTGCGAAATGTGCCAGGGGCAAGCTTTTGACATGATGCATAGTGAATTCCTTCAGCATAACAGCATTATCCGACAAGTAGCATATTAAAAACTTTAACTTGAGACACACAGTCTACGTTAACACAGCAAAATAACCAAACTCAAATTAGGATTATTTCGGTCCACCTTCCTTTTTAGTGTCTTGTCACTCAGGGTCCATCTTAATCGGTAATTTTTGGCCACAAAAAAATTGCTCATAGCTTTTCAAAGTACAAAAAACTGTGTAATTTTTCCAGAAAATTTTCAAAGTTCCCAAAGATTAATTAATTACTAACTTATATATTTTTACCTTCGGTTTCTGTCTTGGCTGGTATTAAAGTTATAATTTGATAATAAGTATGTTGTTGCTGATCAAGCCCTGCCTAGTTCTGCAACAAACTAAAATGACTGTCACTTAGTTTTTTTTTTTCTCTTGGTGCTGCTGATTTGTGAGCATGGATTAAGAACAAAGCATGAGTGTTAACTCCTTAAAAACGTACAGCACCCAACCCAGATATTTGGTACTGATTTTAAAGTGCTATTAAAATGTGCAGTTCAGGGGTGCCCGGATGGCTCAGTTGATTAAGCATCAGACTCTTGATTTTGGCTCAGGTCATGATCCTGGGGTCCTGGAATCGAGCCCTGGGTCAGGCTCTACACTCAGCGTAGAGTCTGCTTGAGGATTCTCTATCTCTCCTTCTGCCTCTTCCCCTGCTCCCTCTCTCGCTCTCAAATATTTTTTTTAATAAAAACTTAAAATGTCGTTTTTAAAAAAATACTCACACAGAACCAATGAGGAAAAACCCTGTAACACATGCACTTTGAAATTTATCTGTTTTTTAAGATTTTATTTATTTGAGAGAGAGAGAGAGAGAGCACGAGCAGGGAGGGGGAAGAACAAAAGGGGAAGAATCTCAAGCGGACTCCACACTTAGTGCGAGCTCGACACAGGGCTCAACTCCACGACCCCAAGATCATGACCTGAGCTGAAACCAAAAGTCAGATGCTCAACTGACTGAGCTGCCTAGGCACCCCAAATAGGTTGGATTTTAAAAATTAAACACTTAAAACACAAGGTGTTATGTAATAAACTTGTTTTTCATAAGTTAAAAAATATCAATAATTATGTTACAAGGCTTGTAACATAAGACAGCTGTCCCCTTGCCACCCCTTCACACTCGGATTTATATTCTCTCGTTGAGGGGCAGCTACTGTCTGCCCACCCTTGCCGCTTGCTGCTCTTTGCCTACATATTTCTGAAGAACATGCCTGCTTGATTTCGCAGTTTTTACGTGTTATGCAGTGTCTTCTAACTGGAGAGGAGCACTCTGGTCTCTTACTTTCTCATCCCTACCCTCCTCGTCCTGCATCCACGCACACTCCTCACCACTCCTCCAGTGTAATTCCGTCAGGGAATAATAAGGTTAGTCCTGGACTCAGTACTTACACACTGTGACTATGTTAAACGTTCTTCACAGATGAACCACGTCATATATTTTTATTATATCTCCTTTCCAATATCACCTTTGCTTCCTTGCCATTAACAAAGGTCTTTTTTTTTCCCCAATTTGCTTAGTTTCCTGTGATCTATTTCTCATGCCTGTTTTACTCCTCTACTACAAGTATAAATACTATTTCAGCATATCCAGACCCATCCGGTCAACTGCCAATCGAATCCTCCAGGCTCCCCCTGGAGCCCCCTCTTCTTCTCCAATCTAACTGATGCACTTCGGCCACATACCCTATTTTTTGGACCTCAGGTCTACCTCTTTATTGGTATACAACCTTATTTTGATGGAACACATGCTCTCGTAACCTCCTATGACCTGAGAAAAGGTCCACAGAAGGTTAAACAAAAAGAGCAAGAATTTGCATGTCTGAAAATGTTCCAGATTATCCTCACATTCGCTGTAAGAGGGCTGAACACAGAATTCTAAGACGGAAACCACTTTTCCTCACAAGTTGTAAAGCATCACTCCATTATTTCCCAGCTTCCACCATTGCCTTAAAGAAGTCTAATGCCATTCTGGTTCCCATCCTTCGTATGTACCCTCTCTTATCCCCCGGAAGCTTTCAGGGTTGTCTTTATCCACAGTGTGCTAAAAGTCCTAAGAACGTGCCTCGATGTGGGCTTATTTTCATCCATGGTTCTAGGCCCCCAGGCAGCCTTTCACTCTGGAAGCTTATATCCTTCACTCTTGGAAAAACCTTCTTCGATGTGGCTTATTTTAAGAAACTGATTTCCTGCCCTCTGTTTTAACTATTTGCTTTCTAGAACCCACTATTACCTAGGCCATGAATGTCTTCAACTAATAGCAAATATTCTTGTGTCTCTCCTGTCTTTATTGCTCTTTCCCATCTTTCTGAGAAGCTTCTCAGCCTTATCTGGTAACCCTGCTGTTGCCCATCTCCTGCTGCTGCTGCAGATTCCTGGGCCCTGGGCCCAGCCTGATGCCCAGCATCACAGAGCCTTGGTGCCACCACCATAAGCCATGGAATTACCTTTACAGGTGAATGTGCTGGTGTCCTTCGTGCTCCCCTTGGCATTAACTGCCTTCCTGAACGGGGTCACTGTGAGCCATCTGGTGGCCCTCTGCTCCCAGGTGCCGTCCACTTCTGCCCCGGGAAGCCCCGCCCCCAGCCACATGGAACTAATGAGTGAGGAGAGGAGGACGCTCCCCCTGGGGGGCCCGGCCAGCCTGGTGAGACACAAGGACTCCAGCCGGCTTCGCCGCCTCCAGCACAGCATCCAGGTTCTCAGTTAAGTACTCAGTAACACTGTCCTGAGCACAAGAGTTGGGGCTCCAGGGCCGCCACCCCTAACCCCTGGCCAAGTGACCTTGAGCAAGTTCCTATCTCTCTCCAGGCATACCTCTCTATGCCCCAGGGGAATTGTATGATCACCAATAGGCTTCCATAACGTTCGGTGGTATGATTACAGGACAGAATGGGAATTCTGTACACGAAAGCCCCATCTGCTCCAGGGAGTAATATAGAAATGAGATAAGTGGATACCCAGTTACTTTGCAGAGTCTGGCCTATGGATGGATACAAGGAGCAGCTGTAGTTGGGGACCTATGGCCTGGGAATGATGGACTCAGACCAGCTGAGTCCCCAGCCCAGTTCCCAACTCCCCACTTTCCCTGATAAAACATTGCTTGTTGGTTGGTTTTTCTAAGTATCTGGGTCAACTTGTAGGGGAAGCATTAGGAAGCACAGGGAAACAGGTGTCTCCAAACACCTGCGGTAATGCAGGCGCTCGCTAAGGTCTGGGAAGATTAAATAAGAGATCAGGGTCTGCTCTCATCAATGCCCCGGTGTTGTACATAGGACAGCAATGCAAGAGCTACGTGTCATGTGATGTGACAAGAACAGAGGCAGCCCATGATGGTGCCTGGACTTCTTTCCATAGACAACAGCATTGAGAGTCAATGCCGGAGATGCGGAGAATGCAGGGAGATTTGCTTTGGAGATAGGTTTTTCTCAACAGTCTTTGGGTGTGGGCTGTGCTTCTCAGGCTTCTGTGCACGTGAGAAAAGTGTGGAGAGGCTGCTGGGCCCCAACCCTGAGATTCTGATTCAGTTGCTCTGGGTGGGTCCAAGACTCTGCATTTCCACCAAGCTCCCAGTTGACATCAATGCCCTGATCCAGAGGCCACATGGGACTACAGATGGATTTGACAGTCAGGGCAGGCATAGAGGAAGGGAGGGAGGGGGAGAAGTTTAGGGACAAAGGGGCCTGTTGGAAGACTGCTGTCACAGTCCAGTGGAGGGGGGATATGAGTCCCTAGGGTGGAAGGAATCAAGAGATGCTAAAGAAGAGCTTTTTAACAGATTGGATCTAGGGGATAATGGAAAAATCAACAGACTATCTGGCTTATGACTTAAGTGCTAGATGGATGGTGGGCCATCAATCAATCAATCAATCAGAAGAAGGAACAGAAGAGGCTTTATGAGGCAGAAGGACATGTAAGTTCTCTGCAGTTAGACAATCAGGTGGGAATATCTCGCCCTGAGTTGAGAGTATATTCTGGTGGTCAGGAGGAGACTGTAGAAGTTTCTAGAAGCATGTCAGTGTATGGGTGGTGGTTAAAGTGGATATTCACCCAGACATCAGGGTAACATCAGGTTTGTCTGCAAATCCAGATAGGAATGTGTCAGATAGCCTCAAAGTCCCCTTCCTACCCCTGGACTCTGGGAACAAGTTCCAGGGAAATGCTTTTGTCCACTTGGCATCTTCATCTCTGGAGGTGGCATAACTGAGAATGTTCGCTGTTGCTCTGTCCCTCCCTACCTGTTCTGCAGGAGCCATTGTGGCTGTGTATGTCATCTGCTGGATGCCGTACCACGTCCGCAGGCTCATGTACTGCTACATTTCCGATGACGGGTGGACCGGGTAGGTGCAGCAGAGGGACCCCAAGTGCATAGGGAAAGGCCACTGGGCTGGGCCTGGGACTTTCCATGCTCTCCACAGGGATTCCCAGTTGCTGGGTCTTTTGGAATTCTGGCCTCCATTCTAGCTCCATTCTAGCACAGCTGCCCAGTCTGTGCCCTCAAACTCTCTGAGCTGGGGGTGGGGAATGGGGCATTTTCTAGCAAGTTCACTGAACTGATAAGGCCAAGTGAATGAGAGGTCTCAGTGGTGATCAGGGCTATGGGCAACCTGACTGCAGGACAGAGCAGTCCACAGGTGGGGCGCAGAGGGAGGGCCTTGCTATTGCAAGGAGAGGGGAGGAAGCCTCAGAGCCGTGAGTCCATGAGCTACCAAGGGCTCCCTTGACTGAGACCAGACCATGTATGCCTTTTGGGACATAACTGGACAAAAGGAGAGAATCTACTGTCTTCCTTTGGGCAATCGCTATGCCTCTGATCGTAAGTGGAAGGCAAACATCCAAGAGAAGAGAGATCCATGGAAATGGCTCTAAGGAAATGGCTGTGCCAACAGATGCCTCATCCTTGAGAGCTGCAAACACCCCTTACCTACAAATGCATATGCAAAAGCCCTTCCCACTGCAGAGAACCCGTGTGGCGAGGAGCATGGCTTCCCAGAAGGACTTTCACTTCTTAGTGACGCCACATATCTGGACCACACCCAGCAGCACGAGGCTCCCGGGTCCCAGTGGCTAGGCAATGGCGCCTGTCAATCAGCAGGTGCACCTTGCACCATGCGGGGGACTGGGAACAGGGACTCAGAGGCTGGGTGGAGTCCACTCCCCCAAAAGGGCAGCTGGTGTTGAGGAGCCATTTGTCGAATTGACACCATGCTTCCCAGGAGCAGAGAACAGGCCTTCCTCACCTGGCCCTTTGGAGGAGAGACGCATTCTCCAGGAGGGGTGGATGCTGTGAGGAGGTACAGGTCCTCTTACATGCCTCCTGGGTTTCTCTTCCAGAACACTCTACAATTTCTATCACTACTTCTACCTGGTGACAAACACGCTTTTCTACGTCAGTTCGGCAGTGACCCCCATCCTGTACAACGTCGTGTCCTCCTCCTTCAGAAAACTCTTCCTGAAAGCCCTCGGCTCCCTGTGTCGACAGCACCACCACATGGCGCCTTGACCCCTGGAAGCCCTGGAGCCTCACCCGAATGGACCCCAGCTGCGGGCTCTGGGGCCCCATCCCCTAGATACGCCGACCTGGACGGAGCAGAAGAATGAACGAAAGCAAACAGCAACTGGCCGCTCAGTCACTAGCATTCAGACAAGCTATTTTATCACAAGTAACTCAAGCTCTGCAGTCAGATGCACTCATCCGGACCCCCGGCCCCGCCACTTACCAGCTGTGCATCTGCAGGCGAGTCGCTTACACGCTGAGCCTCAGTCTTCCCATCTGCGTGATGGAGATGAACAGTACCCAGCTCTTAGAGTTGTTCGAAGATTAAAGTGCTTAGCACAGTGCCTAATGCATAATAAATAATAAATGTTGGCTGGCATTTTTTTTGTTATTGTTGTTACTATTCTCATTATTGCTGTTTTCCGCTCTCCTGGAAGTCCACTACATTCTCCTGTAGTCTTATGCTCATCAGTGTGGGCTCAGATGTCCTAAGAATTTCCACAAATAACAAATGACAGTGCTCCAGAAGCGTACTGCACTGTCACATCCCATGGACAGTAGTAACATTCTCCAGTCTCACCCAGTAGGGAGGTGGCAGCCAGTAGAAGGACCCCATGAGCTGTGGGAGGCCCAGGGGCACCCGCTCCCCTCTCCTGGCCTCTGGCCAGTGTGACTGACTGACGCCAGGCATCTGGGGCTCCCTGCGGGAGGACAGATGTGCGGCCAACCTGGATGCAGCAGGGTGCCAAAGACTTTATTTCTGGGATCCTGGGAATACTCTCATTACCACTGCCATCTTCTACGTGGGAAAACAAAAGCAAAGAGAAGTTAAGGAAAGTTCTTCTCCCACTATTCAGTAATGCAGGGATCAAAACCCAGGCTTGGGACCGAGCAGCCCAGGCTCACCAAGTGCCTCGAGCTGCTTCCCAAGGGTCTGATGGCCAAAGAGGAACAGAAAGTAAAGGCTCATTATTAACGAATTGGATGAGTCATGATACTCCACTCAGTCCACCCAAATCCTATTTGTTAGGCCACCATTAAATAATGAGTATAAATCTCATTTAGCAGCATAAACATCTGTGGTTGTGCTACCAAAAGAGAACACAATATAAAATTACATTATAATATATGTAGAAATCATTCAGATACAGAGAAAAGGTCTAGAATGGAGCCCTTAGTGAAAGTGGTGGGTTTGCTGAGGAGGCACAAGTGACCCGAGGACTGGGGTGCTTTCTATTAACTTCATGCCAGGATCTGAGCCTAATGACGCCTGGCACCCAGCAGACACTCAGATGTCTGGCAAAGGACAGAGAAACCTGGCTTGTTTCCCTCCAATTTGCTAGTATAATATTGTTTGTATGACATCAAAATAACACATTTCAAACAGAAATTAAGTTCCCCCTACTGTTGTTCCATGGGCAGCACCAGCACCGCTACAGCAGAGCCTGGAGCGTGGGGTGGATCCTCACGTGGGGTGTCACTTATTAGCTGTGTGACTTAAAGCAAATTCCTTCACCTGCTTGGGCCTCATGTCACATCTGTGAAATAGACATCATGACAATTATCCCTTAGATTTTAAGAATTAAATGGTATCATAAATACGAGGGAAAAAAATGCTTGAAAAGCGTAGTATCTAGCACCTGAAAGTGCTCAGTTGGTAGTAGCTGTTGTGAATATAATAAAGGAAACCCCTGGTTCCCAAATGCCAAGTATCTTTCTAATCCCATCTTTAAACAACGTCTACTCTATTTTGTGTGGTTGGCTGGACCGTTGGCTTGCTTAGCTAAGATCAGGAGCCCCCCAAAGGGTTCTTTTCATCAGCCTAGTCTTACAGCCATGACTTCATCAGTGCCGAATGTTAGGAAACTTCCACTAAACTCTGAAAGGCAAAGTATGCATTGCCCACCTGTAGGAGTTTCCTAGGGCTGCCGTAACAAAGCACCACAAAGTATGTGGCATCAGACAGCAGAAATCTATTCTCTCATAGTACTTGAAGCTACAAGTTTCAAATCAAGGTGTCAGCAGGGCCCCAAAAGACTTGGGGAAAGACTCCTTCCTTGCCCCTTCCAGCTTCTGGTTGTTCCCAGCAATCCTTGGCTTGTAGGTTCATCATTCCCATCTCTGTCTTAATGGTCACATGTCCGCCTTCCTTTGTTACTCACTCTCTTAAGACCTCAGCCATACTGGATTAGGAGCCCATTTCATGCCAGTATGACTGGAATATTCCCATAATCCAGTATGACTTCATCTCAACTAATTACATGAGCAACAACCCTATTTCCAAATAAGATCACATTCTTAAGTATCGGGGGTTAGGACCTGCATGTATTTTCGGGGATGTGATTCAACCCAAAACAGCGACCAAACCCACCCTTCTTGGTAGGGTGGACTGCCACCCTTGGGAAAGATCCTTTTATAGAGCAAGAACCAGAGTTGGAGTGGCCAGAGATCCCAAGAGGGAAAAACTAGTGCTCGTCAGAGTTAAAGAAAGAAAGGGAAACTGGGACAGGATATTCAGTGAATGACAAATGTAGTCATGGACTCTTGTTTCTCCTCTAGACATGGAGGGCTTTAAAATGCTGCACTGGCTTTCCAACTGTTTTGTTAATTAAAATGCTAATTCCTTCTGCTCTGGGAAGTCTGCCTAAGCAAGTAGACTAAAAAAGAAATGAAAGCCGTCAATACTAGATGTGCCCTTGGTTCATAGTCTTCCCTTAAAGAGCTGTCTGTAGGCTCTGAAGCCAGATCTGGAAAGTTAAATGCAAATTTTGTTATTAAAGGAGTATCTAAACATTAATGTGGGGATCGCCCAGACTCGGGATGATACATAATGCAATATATTTGGTATATGCTGGGATCCACCACTACCTCCCACAGGTGACCCAACACCTCTGCCAATGAAAGAATTTTGGATCCGTACTTTTATCGTACAGAGGGCCTTCTGAGCCAACAGCACCTCCTGATGAGTGACATTTGGTGGGAGTACATTACTCAAGATGGGAAGTAACCGTGATGTTATTGGAACTATGCTTACACCCGCCGGCATGAATCTAGGTTTGTTCTGTCCCTTGATAGCTGTGTGATCGTAGACAAGTCATCCAACCTCTCTGAGCCACAGCTTTTTCATCTCTAAGATGGTCCCAATGGTATCTACTTCAGAGTGCTATTGAGTTGGCTAAATAGTAAACAGTCACCTAGTTAAATGCCTGGCACATACTAAGTGCTCAAAAAATGTTTGCTGCTACTGTTGCTCATGTCATAGTTGACACATTCTCCGGGGGGGGGGGGGGGGGAGGTGCGGTGGAGAGGGCAGGTGACCTGGCAAAGGAATCGAGGAGTGAAACCAAGTCTCCTGGTTTCAAATCCCATGCCCTCCCTGCCACCACCTCTGCCAGGAGAACTCTGACATCCAAGTCAATGTTGCAATTACAGCCTGACTCTTCCTTTACTGCAAGAGTTCTCAAATTGCTCTAAGTCTTCAGGGCAAAAGAGCCACAGCTGTATGTTTACTATTCTTATCTGGTTTGAGGAGGACTGCCATGTCTAGCCTTGCAAAAGTACAGCTTTCTGTATCTTCCAATGCTCTGGAAGAGTTTTAATTTTAATGTGGCAAAACACACGTAAAATTTACCATTAGTGTGATTTAGCGCAATCACAAGGTAATGCAACCACCACCTCTGTCTAGTTCCAGGATGTTTCCTGGGATTTCTATTCCATAAGAATTCTCGACTTGATCAAACATCCTACCGTGTCAGTCGACTCTCACTTCTATTGCTCTTCTGTCTCTCTTTTCTGGAGAGATGTACCAGTCTCCAATTATGGTTATGCAATTATCCCATTATTGCCCTTTTCTTTTCCGAACTGTTCTTGCTTTCTAGATTTCATAGCAGTGCCGGCCTATCTACAAAGTTTTGCGACCTTTATGGATTTAACTTTGGATTTAACTCTGAACTTTAAAGAATCTCTTCACACACTTCACTTCTTAACATTTTGAAGCCCATTCTGATTAGCTTTCTTAACCCAGTCCAAGAGCCTCAATATGCTATTAGGTGAATTTAATCCATTTATATTTATTTTGATGAAGAGTATGTTTGGATGTGTTTCTGCCATCTACTTTATATTTTTTTAAGATTTTATTTATTTATTCATGAGAGTCACAGAGAGAGAGAGACAGAGACAGAAGCAGAGGGAGAAGCAGCTCCATGCAGGGAGCCTGATGTGGGAATCGATCCCGGGTCTCCAGGATCATGCCCCAGGCTGAAGGTGGCGCCAAACCACTGAGCCACCTGGGCTGCCCTGTCATCTACTTTATTTACCACGCTTCTCTCTCCCCTCCCCAGCCCGTTCTTCCCTTACACACTGGGGTTTTTTTGGTGCTGCTTTCCATTTATTGTTTAGACACTGGACACCCTGTTGCATTTCTTCCAGCAATCACTGTTTTTTAAACATATATTTAAATATTCCTTTTCTGCTAACATGTTACTCACCCCCACCCCATTAAATCAAGAATTTTAGTACAATTTCACTCCTTATTCTCTCAGTTCCTCCGTCACCAGCCACTCCCACCCCCAGCTCCCATGTCAGAAGCACCTAAGACAGAAGAGTCCATCAGTGCGCATGAGCACTACCATTTGCTGGGCATATTCAAGTCTCCAAACACACAGCAGTGAATGTATCTTACAAAGTTCCTACTTTCAGAGGAAAAGACAAAGAAAACACTAAACAAAGTATATTCTATTGGGGATGACCTCATTGAGGAGGTGACCTCAGAGGGATCCGAGCAATGTGAAGGGGAGAAGTGTCCTGGGCAGAAGAAGCAACAGGCCTGAGTTGGGTACTTGCCTGACAGTGGCCAAGGTGGGCCAGGAGGGCCAATTGGCTGACATGCAGTGAGCAAGCGGAGGGGTCAAGGGTAAGCACAGACCACCAACATTCCTGTTTCCTGGCTTCTCAGGGATGCCCCCCTGCCCCCCAGCTACACCTTCTAGCTGCTTCACTCTTGAGCTTATCTGCCTACTTCATCCGCCTACTGAGGTTTCAGTTTTGATTTCCAAGATCCGTAATCCATCCTTTTTGTTCTGGACACCATATAATCTATTTTCTGATTTTAGTCACACTTGTTTTTATAGGATAGGATTCCATTTGCTTTACTGACTCTTTATTGAGGTTATCATCCTTCACCATATAATGTTTGCTTTTTTTATAAGTCTGAGTTGTTTATTCATTTCCATACCGGGGGTTCCTATTTGCTTATTTTGTTTACTTCCCCACGTGACTATGGGGGACAGGACAAGACCATGGAGAGGAGTAGGCCAAT